TTGGCTGGCGTCATTCAAAAAGAGCGACCCAAACGCGACAAAGTTCTCCTTCTGCATGACGACGCTCGTCCACGTGTTGCGAAGATGACTCGCCAGACGATTTCGGAACAGGGCTGGGAAGTTTTACCCCATCCAGCGTATTCTCCGGACTTGGCCCCTTCCGACTATCACTCGTTCCGGGCCCTCGAGAATCACCTGCGGGACGAGGCCTTCGACGATCGAGCACGGCTCGAAAATGATGTCGGCCGTTTCTTCGTTTCGCATCGCCAGAGTTCTGGGCAAAGGACATCGAGGAGTTACCCGTGCGTTGGGAACATGTCATAAACAACAATGGTCATTACATTGTAGACTGAAATTGCATTTCAATAAAGTTATAAAATTTTTAGAAATTTGCCCAGAGTGTTGCAAGACTTTCTTTCCAACCCAATATCCATAACCCAATAAAAACATGTTTTCATATGCCATTCCCATAGGTGCTATGGGGAAATGGCAGATATTGCGATCGGTCTGACACTTTTTTAAATTGTAACCATGTGTAACTTGGATTTGTACGACCGTTTGGAACCTAAAACTAATCGAGTTGCGTTTCCGTGAAATTATTTGCATGGACTTGGTGGAAAAATATCCTCTCGAGTGGCTGTCGACAGCCTGGACTTTCGTTTCATGCTTTGAATTTTAATTAATTAATTAATGAGGTCCACGACCAAGTCAACTGGAAATGTTCCCGTTGACTTGGTCCCGAGTGGAATCGCTGAACGCCGCTCCATTTTTCTTGCAAAGAGAACTGGAATCTTCCAAGTCTTCGGTAACGGTCAGAGGAAACCAAGGGCAAGCTCGATGACCTTGACCTTGGAGAGGCCGGGATGGAGCTCGTTTCAGAAGAGTAAGGTTGAAAGTTGGAGTTCTCTGTTACCTCTTCTAGCTAATAGCTTTCGATTTATTATTTATTCAAATTGTTCCAAAATCGCAACTGAAAAGCCACACAACCCGATTCGACCTTTGCCGACCCCTCCCATGTCTTTCGAACCCATACCGTCGAGTCGAGAAAATCAACAGCTAAGACATTGGAAAAGACGAGAGACCTTTCCCCACGGGATGGGGAAGAAGGTCCCACACCTCTCTCTCCCACCAGCCGAGCGCCAGGCGAAGAAAAGTCGGCGTGTACCCAATTACGCCTGGGTGAGGCGGCGGCCAGGCTCGAGGCCGGGCCTCCTGGACGGCATAAGGACGCTCTACTCCGTAGGCCATATACCGCCAGTTGAGAATAGGGTGACGGAGTTCCATACTGATGCCATTCGGCTCCGACTGTTTCTTGCGCGAAGTGGGAAGCATGAAGTGTGTGAAGAAACTCCCGGGGGCAAAGACCAAGTCAGACTTGCATGAAGGTGGCCAGGTATAACAAGCCTCAATAGGAGCGTTCGATCGATACGTACTTTTATCATTGAAATAACTCGATTTTTGCGAGTAGAATTGCGTAGTCGGCACCGAAGGTATTCAGACCAATCAAGTACCTGGGGGTACCCAAGGCAGTTGGAATTCGTATGCATGCGCAATAAAAAGATGCATTTTACGAAACAGACGTCTTGTCCAGGAACCATAATTTTTTTTCAGAGTTCTTGCGATGAGAGGTCTTCAAAGGCTCTCCACGGTACTCACAACACAGAATCAATTTCCTTTCGAATTATACGAATGCACTCGGGCTCTGTGTAGTAGCTTTCCAACTGGGGGTAGATGTCTCTAATTCTTGATTGAACTTGCGAAAAGTTGACCAATATAATTGAAAATCCATTGTCAGTATGTTATGATCAACACAGAATTCAACGACTACACGCTGCTTTTCTTTCACGTCCATTCCTGGTGACTGTCGCCTACACTTTGCCCTTCGGTCTTGTCTGAGACTTCATTCCCACAAGGCGAGGGAGGGTAGGAATGACGGACGCTTTGGATACGCAAGGGGTTACGTGGTCTTTCTGATGAGAGACTTGTCGAGTTCTCCAATAGCGGACGTCTCTGCTTTGACTTCAACGCCTGCCGTCGTAGTTGATGGATGAATGTCATCCATGTGGGAAAGACTGAAGGAGCTCGAAGGCGTGGGAGCCTTGTCCGATGTCGACGAAGGCCGAATGAGCGGAATGCTAGCATTTTCTTGATGCATTTTTTGCTCGGTCGCAATAATTTTTCTTTCATGTGAACGAGCAATCCTCGATATTGCGTAATTCCCTAAGAGAATGCTTTATTTTCTCAATTGGAAAAAATGTCAATTTTCCCCTAGAATAATATTTTATTCTCTTCATCGGGAATGTTATGGTTAGCTATCCAATCTCCGACGCTTCACGAGAATGATTTCTCTCCTCGTTCTCATAGGAAAAGCCTGCTTTCAATCCTCCACTTTCGCCATTTTGCGCGAGAAACGCCGGAGACCATTCGTAAAGACCGCTGTGATTTCCGACTGGCGGTATATGGCCTACGGAGCCGCGTGCCGTCCAGGAGGCCAGGCTTCGAGCCGGGCCGCCGCCTCACCCAGGCGTAAATTGGGTACACGCCGACTTTCTTCGCCTGGCGCTTGGCGTTTAGGAGTTATTTTCTCATTTTCAAAATGTCTCTCATTTTTATCTGAGTATCACTAAGTTATGAACAGGATCTGTGAAGCATGGTACTTCCTTTAATATTCGAAGTAGACTTGCCTGTGCCGCAGATACCCACAGCCGCTTCATGCACATGGAACCGAACGGCGTTCACTCACTTGCGAGAGATTTCCAACAGTTCGGGATGAGTTTGTTTCGAAACTTGCAGGAGCGGGAGTCAGACTTTCCCAAGTTTTCCTTCTTCATTCGTGAGGAAGTCGACGAGGAACGGACGGAGCACTTTCGGCGTTGGGTGCCACGGTGATGTCACTCACGATTCCTCACGATGGTCACTGACGATTCCTCATGCCGTGGACGAGGCCTTCGACACCCCACCACACTTCGATTCCATGTAAAACCACCGCTTAGCACGGGTCGAATGTCTATGTTAGGATTCGATCGGTATACTCTGTCCCATTCGCGCAAGTCTGGCTCTTTGCCCCGAGGCTCTGTTCCCCCCCCCCCCCCCCCCCCCCCCCCTCCCCCCTCCCCCCCAACGAAGACTAGAAGACGAAGACTAGAAGACGAAGACTAGAAGACGAAGACTAGAAGACGAAGACTAGAAGACGAAGACTAGAAGACGAAGACTAGAAGACGAAGACTAGAAGACGAAGACTAGAAGAAGACTAACTTGAAAGATTCCAAGGCGACTCATTTATCAGTGAATTAGGCGAAGCATTTCGTTCAAGCTGTCGAGTTCAGAAAAATCTATATTATATGAAAGCGTGCAGCAGCGTTCCGGCTAAATGGCAAGTAACATATTGGAATGCTCGTAAATCGAACGGCGACGGAACGGGACGAAAGTAAAAATGCAGATTCATAGAAAGCTACAAGACTTCACTCAGCAATACGTATACATTTCGCGGAGAAGACTCAGGCATCACGGAGATGCCACTTGCGATTTCCATCCCGGACGAGGCGCTGCATCTGGCGTCTAGGCTCGATGGGAGCGTGAAAGAGACGGACGGCCGTGGCTTCAGATACGAGGCGGATATCAGGAGGAGGAAGAAGTCGCACGATGTAATGCCACGGTTTATTTCGGATGCCTCTCGCTATCTCCTCCTCGGAACTTCTGAGTCGACCCCTCCGTCTGCCCTTCTGGGTGCGCCGGAAGAAATTATAGCGATGGAAAGTCGGAGTTCTCTGGTTGAATCACCGCTGACTTGGGTCGACAATACGGTAAACCCACTGCACGACCACAGCAGAGATTGGCATATGGCGCAGTTGGAAGTTAATGATTTTTGGTTAGGTCGAACCTCAGCCCACTCGATCGATCAATTCGTGACTGTCACGTTGAATCGACGTTAATTCTAGATTCATCTGCTGGTCTCCCCACTTGTAGGAGATTCTGCTCATCGGGCTAAAGTCGAAGACGGCTTTAAAAGCATAAGCACGCTACTTCTTCCATTGCTTACTCTTGGTATTTTCTTGTCTTTAGTGGGGTCTCCTTCACTGGCATCTCCTATATTGCCGAATTTCGGAGACGACATGCTATGGGATGCACAAAATTGAACGCAATCGCAATCAAGTGGTAAAGCTTGCTTTTTTTTATTATTAATTTCGGTCCTCTCATCACTCGCGTCATGGCAACCATAATCGATCAATAAAACCCCTACGTGAAGACGCTGAAAGAGTACAACAAATTATGACCACCGGAAAAAAAAAACATGGCACCATCGTCGACGACGACGACTTCCTGTCTTTGAACCAAGAGAAATCACTCCTCGGTAACGTTCACTGGGCTCCCCGATCGAGTCTCCCGGGCACCGCCAGGCGGGGAACTGGAGGATCTTCCCCTACTGGGCACTCGCGGGCGGGGAGTAGAGGATGGTCTTCCCCGCGCCCTTCCGGAAGACGGGGATCCCCTTGGACGCCGGGGCGTCTCCCTCCACGGTGATGTTGCGGGCCTTGTTGCCCAGGCTGCAGCCCGGGCGGGCCGACACTCCGACTGGGAGCTCCGCTCCGCCCATTTTCCTGGGGGAGGACATCGCATTTTCGTGAGAATGGGATTGCAATGTGTGAAACGCGAAGGATATTAGTTGTTTGGTGATAATCGCGTAAAATTAAAAACTGAAATCAATGTTTTAAAATTCTAAATAAAAAAAATGTATATAAATACATTTTTAAAATGATAGAGAATTTCAGGGAATTGCCGGAGACAATCAGAAGATTCTGCCTCATTAGTTACATTACCTCTCTCTAGTCCTGGTGTCCGGAATTCTGGACATTTGTCAAAGCAGACACACCACAAGCAACCAATTGCAAGAGATCCTTCAAAGTGGTGCAGCCAATATTTAAAAGCGAAATGCGCGGGAAACTAAGGAGGATATATTTTCTATAAATAAAATTATTTATTTTTCTTCATCACAGATGGAAGGCACCGGGGACTCAAGGGACTCGAAACCCCAGAGATTTTCCCAGCCTCACTTTTCCAAATGGGATCACGTTTCCGTAAGGGCGGCTGGCATCAGTCGTTCTCTTTAAAAAAAAATGGGGCATGTCAGGGGAGTGAGGCTAGTGTTTTAGAAAAAACTTCGCCTCGACTCCCCCCCCCCCCGTATTCTCAAGGACACCATGAACAAGAATGAGGATTGAGCAATGCGACGTAGAATAATTTGGAAGATCTTCAGAAGCTAAGCTAAGCTAAGCTAATCCTCGTAAGCGAGGATTACTTTGCACACGGCCAATGGAGCGGCAGAGCTTGTCGATCGCTCTCTCGTGACACGGTGCAGTGCAACTGTGCACATGCACAGGTGCAACTGTGACGACTTCATCGCGAGTACTTCGCAGTACGGGTATACAGCTGGGGCATTATACCTCGAGAGAGTCCATTATCAGTACCAATTTTTTTTACGGATTTTTCTCCGTTGCTATGGAAGAGAAAGTGAAAATTTGCCGAGGAAGTAGATCAACTAGCGCCATTCTTTCATGCTTGAGACAGAATAAAAAATCCATTTAGTTATGGATGGGTTCGACGAGGCGTAAGAAAACATATGTTATTTCTTGATTAAACTAAAACATAAATTAACTATTATATTTATGGTTTTCGAAGACGATAAATGGAGTCTCCCCTCACAAAAAAAAATAATAATAATTTTACAAAAAAATTTGGAAAATACAGGGAGGGGGACAGGTGGAGTGATGGTTTAAAGTTAAATTTAAAGTTAAAGTTAAATCTTACAATGTCCCATGCATTCAACTTCTTGACACTCGGTTCAAGCTTCAACAGAATTCGGATCATGATCGGGGTCAACAGATGTCCGGAAGCTGCAAACTATCAGCAGCACAGTGAAAGAAAGGCATTTTTGGAATATCCAATTCCTCTTCTGATAATTGAGAGCCTGCAAGAACGATTTTAGCATTCGGAATCTTTGCTTTTTGTTCCATCATTTTATGGGGCTCGCAGAGGAAATGCAACTGAACATTTTTTTTTTTTTAACAATGTGGATTTCATGCCAATCAAGTACTCCCACCAATGCCAATTTTACTCCAAAAATAAGCGACTGGATGGCAAAGAGGATAATCCTGGAAAAAGATGGCCCAGCGCCCCAATGGCCCTGGCATCAAGGTGCAACAGAAGTCATGCACCTTAGGACTAAGGGGAAGGGGATCGGCGGGAAAATGTCAACTGAACCCACGCATACACGTAATGTAAGGTGAAATTTTGTTGATGAAATTAACAAACGCTTAGATGCTTCGTCAGAGCGCCTGCTGGAACTTTTCCCATGGCACAGGACTTATCCATATACCCTATCCACAATGGAAGCACATTTAAGAATAAGTTTCAAAACTGGCAAAAAGTAACGCTGGTCATCTACATACTGCACCGAGCGAAGTACGAAGAGCCAAGTCGGTACTAGAAAGTACTGCACTCTAGAAGACGGCGAATAATTACCCTAGCAGCCAACAACGGAAGCTCACAATAACAGAGCCATAAACAAGCCATAATTAAGAAGAATCGGTTGAAACAGCAACGGTAAAGTGGAACGAAATGAGACCTTCTAAAGGCGTTTCTGAGGACCCCAACAGCCTCCCCGACCAGGTCTTCGTTCACAGGACTCTGAAGGGAGAGAACAAAGTCGTTCCCTCCTTTCACGTGCATTATGACCAGTTGCTCTCCGCCTGGCGTCACGGTCATCCCCGTCACCTGCAATCGCAATTACACACACTCCGTGTATTTACGCCCATTTAGCATTGATTTAAAAAAAAAAAAGGTGAAAGGAAAATAGCTTCGGTTACCATATTAAGGGGAATTCCACTCTTCATCGCACGGAAATTCTTGGGGTTCAGCTTGAAGATGGCGGTATCGGTGATGAGGATGGCCCTGTCTGCGCTCTTGTTGTGCTTGTTCACCTTTCTCACCATACACGAGAACAGGATCTGTTAACGGTCACAGAGAATCACATCGAGAGTCCTCAAAAAACTCACAACCATCTGTCCAATCACACGGCACCATTCATCCTCCTAATGAAAAGTAGAAGCTCACAGTGGCTGCACTTAAAGAAAAGCTAGGACTGATATACAAGCACGTCCATCCACCAGACCCACCAGGGACTTCTGCGCTCCAAGGACGACCGAGACAAACGCACAAACCTGCACATCATCTCTCCTTTAAAAGGAGGGCTGACCTATCCAAAAGCAGAAGGACGCACGCATGACCAAGCAAGAGAGACCTCAGAAAAGGGATCCTTGCTGCGAAGGGACGAGACGGAGGAAGTGAACGTCCCGCTGTTGGAGTTGAAGCTGATCATGCCCAGGTAGTTCCCCTTCCAGTCGCGATGGAAGCCCCAGGAGGTCCGCTTCCCCACCAGAGCGTCGGCTGCTGCGATCTGCAATCGCCGATTGTTATTTAGGGCCAAAACCGATGCGAATCCACTCCTTACGTTCCAGTACTCATCGTACTTAAATGGCAGTGCGCAAGAACTTCTGCAAAGTCTTTCTCAAAGTACTTTAACCTGGTTTAAAATTATCCGCTTACACATAAAAAATAGATAAGGGGATGGGAGACCTTGATTCTCATCTGAGGGAGATCCTGCTTGGGCACTCGAGCAAGGATCATGGCGGCCCACCACCGCCTGTGAATGACCTTCAGGTACTTGACACCTGTTTCCAAGACCTTCGGCGGGATCGGCCATCTCGTGCTCTTCCCAAAGTCGCGGGTCCTCTTCACGTCCCTGGGAAATCGAAACGTCCTTGAAAAAAAGGTTCATTAAAAAAAAAAAAGGACCGAGAGAAGGTCGACGAAGGGGTACTTGAATGCTTTGCAGAGCTGCAAGATGTACTTCCGCATCCGGTACTGCCGGTACGCCTCGATGATGCGGCGTACGGCGAGCATGCGGCGGTACCGTTTCCGCGCTATTGCTCCGCGCCACATCTTTTGCAGCAGCATCACGATCCCTGGCAGGAGTTGACTTCGAGACTGCAATATGAAAAAAAGAACTTCATCAAAATGATTTCTTTGATTCCGGAAAGTGATTTTGCAAGGTTAAGTGGAAAATTTAATTTAATTAAAAAGGAAATGTTTCTCCGGAAAAATAAAAAAATTTGCTGAAACTTTAGAAGCTCAACAGGATTTCGAAACAGTTTTCTCCCGGTAGGACCGAAAATCAGAAACCGATTAAAATCAGACCTGCTCAAGGGCAAACAGGGTTTGAGGAGATCGGAGGAAAATCTTGGTCTTCCCGTATTCCACGTCGTGGGCGACTCCTCGGTCCTCCAGCAGCAACTTGGTCCCGTCCTTGGCGGGACCCGCGTGATAGTTGGGCCAGGTGTAATGGGATAACATCTTGTACCTGCCACGGTCATACCGCTTGCATTATTTGCACATATTAGCAACAAAGATTTTTTTTCAGGATTCATTTTAATTATTCATGTAAATTTCCAGTCAACCTCCCGTAAGTCACTGCTAAATAATCCATTCCTGCATCAACAGGTCGACTGGTCGTGCATAATTAAGGATACGTTGATCGATCCATCACTGCCTTCACAGGTAGTCCTCATCGATCAATATAATGGTCCCAGAACGTGCTACATCACTCGACAGAGCAGACGTACCTGTGCAAGAACTTCTCGTACTTCTGCCGATAGGCGTATCCAGCCCGGCGGACCCTCGTGTTCTCCAAGAGACCCAGGTATCGCACCTGCAACAGACCGAATTCCACCCTTCTACAGCCCGAATTCCACCCTTCTACAGCCCGTTTCACCCTTCTACAGCCCATTTCACCCTTCTACAGCCCGTTCCACCCTACGGCCAGCCGGCGCCGTTCGGCCGCGAACCTGATGCTCGATCCGGACGGGGTCGAAGATGACCGGGGACTTCTGGTCGTTCGGCTTGATGCAGCGGATGTAGTGAGGCTCCTTGGAGGTCAGGGTCTTCACCAGGGCGATCATGGAGTTCTTGAAGAGGGTCCCTGCCGTCTGCGGCCGCTTCGTCGTCTGCGTCCACCAGAGCGAGTGAGCGATCGTGCTTTGACGGTGACAAAAGGGGCGAAAGAGAGAGGCGAGACCTTGGTGATGTCCATGGCGCCTTCGGGCCACATGGAGCTGAGGATGCCGTCCTTGGAGTTGTAGAGGAGTCGCTTGAAGTCCTGGAACAGGCTGTCCTTGTTCTTGTCCAGGAAGCCGATGATGCTGTACGTCACGTCTCCTGCATAATGCCTGCGCGGACACATCAACATCGTGCCTCATCGTGCCATTCTCAGGGATCCGTTCATTTGACTTGCAGATCCCATATGGAGATTGCCGAGCCCAGTGTGCCTTGTTTGCCGCTCCTTTTGGCAAGCAGCTGGCTTTAAATTTTGAGCACACGCCGACGTATTGGAATAAACGACGACTATGATAACTGAATAGCATTTAAATTAAATTAAATTAAAATCCTAAGGGAAAAATTCATGAATACCCATGAGAAATTGAATAATTAAAGGCAAAAAAAAAATCCCACACCGCCTCAACGACAGGAAAGACCGAACCCACTTGATGCGAAACTGCTCCCCATGGCTGAGGGCCTTGTCCTGAGGATTGAGCCGCCTGCTCGTATAGTGCTGGTGCCCCTTCAGCTTCTGGTCCATGGTCTCCAGCAGGAGCTGCGAAAACGAAACCGACCCGTTCTCTCCCTGCCCCTTTTTTGCCCTCGACAGGTGCTTCGAAGGTGACAGGTGCACCGAGGACGTACCACATCGGTGACCTTGCCGACGGAGAGGCAGGCCTCGTCCAAGATGGAGATGATTCCCTTGTGAGGCTCCTCCACCAGATCACAGATGATTTGATTGTTGAAGTACTCGATGTGCACCCAGGTGATCCCCTCCCTTCGGTACTCCTCCTGCTCCTGCTTCAGCACCAGCTCTGTTCGAGGAATCGGGGTGCGACACGTCAAGGTTGGAATTCTTCGGGGACTGGGACAGGTCTGTCAAGCCTGTCAAGACCGTGTCGTTTTTTGTCATCATCTTCTGATTACATATAACCGCCTGTTAAGCCTTTGAGCATTGCTTTAAGGGGCAAGGAAACGACGCTCCTCGAAGAGACCCCGAAGAGATGCTGTTCCTCCGTCATAAACAAATGAGACCCAGCTCAGGAATGCGTAATTTATTACACGTACTACCGACGCTGGGGAATCGGGAATCGCATCGGAATCGGCTGCTGGTATGGCATCGTGTGCATCGCTGATCATCGACTGGCATCACTGGCATCGTGTGCTTCCAGACGCGCAAAAAAAAAGTCGAAATAGTACCTGAAACGATTAAATCTCTCATCTGTGGGTGAGACCTGCTTGGAATGACATCGGGCGTGTCGCCAGACCGAGAAAACGCTGGCTCATACCGGTTCTAGTCCCTTCCAGGCGACTAAAATCAATTAAGCATTTCGAAACAGAAATCTCTCTCCGAGCAGCCGGCACCTGTGTTGAATCCAATGTGGTTAAATATTTTTTTTTTGCACCCCGTCGACAAAAAAATATTTATGTTTTGCATGATTCCTGCCTCCCCCCCGTGCAAAAAAAAAAAAAAAAAGGCTACGGAATTCTAAGTCATAAATCTCGTATGCTGGCGTGAAAAAAAATTGACAGTGAAGAATGACGGAAAATAATTTGTTGGCGCCCCCCACTCCCTTCCAATCGCCACCATCGAACACGGCCGAAGCGTGCAAGATCATCTGTGACCATCACGAATCATCGGAGAAGCATCATCATAATGCGAAAAAAAAGGGACGGTCCGAACCGATGAAAAGCTGCTGCAGCTTCTCGTTGCAATAGTTGATGCAGAACTGCTCGAAGGAATTGTTGTCGAAGATCTCGAACCCGTAGATGTCGAGGACCCCGATGACGGTGGCGCCGTGCTGCCTCCGCTCCTCCTCGCCCACCTTGATCACCTCGTTCACCCTGCTCACGATCCACGTGAACAGCCGGGAGTAAATCGCCTGGGCGGAGAAGAAACGGGATCGCTCGGAGTGTGCAATCAAGGAAACGATTTTCAAGTTTTAAAAAATGCGATGCGGCCTCAAAACACCATATATCACGGTTTAAGGGACGCCCGGAGGTCTTTTTAACACGTTGGCGCCAAGCAGAATTTTTAACATGCAAAGTGCATCACCGGCGATTCACTCGGCAGCCAACAAATAAAACATCTGGCGTGAGTCCGAGAATGGTAACAGTAGAGGGCCCGAGGAGCCAGCGAGCAACAGTGTCACTTACCCATCGCTCAGGTCTGAGGCCACATATCGACCTCCATATCCGCTTCCCCCCCCCCCCCCCCGCTATCCCTGCTGCTTTGGGTGGTCACACGTGGTTGTATTTCGGCGCGCTTCTCTTTCCATTAATTTATTTGATTAATTTATTGCCTTGTTTTCTCTTCTGCTGAATTCTGCCTTCAGGGGAAATGCTTAAACGCAGCACCGCGACGTAGTCTATCCGGCAGTAAATGACTCACTCGCTCGACAATATTTGAAGTTTTATCGTTCTCATATTTCCACACTCTGTGAATGTATGTCAGTCGGCTCACTGATGCCGCCGGAGGAGAATAAAACAAGGACTCGCTGCCCCCAGTGAAGAAACGATGAGACTTTCCTGCCCCCAATAAAGAGTACAGCCAGAGACAAGCGATGAGCATCAATTTCCCTCCATCATTCATCCCCGACCGATCCTTGAACTCTCGGCCGCCCCCGCGGAAAGGCCGAGGTGGTATTTTCGTTGGCACGAATTCCGTCCGTTCAGCCACACCCATTTTCCCCAGCTATTAAGTTAAGTCCTACCCCAAGTAAAGCGAATCCGGACACGGGATATAATTATGAATTATGCTGCCGAATTTGATGTGGATTGAAGGAGAGGAGCCGGCGTAATTTTCGTAAATGCCATGCGAGTCCCGGAAAATTGAGGTCCGCTTGGAACGCTTGTCCACTTGTGAAGCTTATCCGCCTGGAACGCTTGTCCACCTGGAAAGCTTATCCGCCTGGGAAGCTTGTCCACCTGGGCTCTCGAAGGTCACGACCTCGCGCTTCTCGCTCTCTTCTCACAGGTCCCCTGCAGCGGTGCGGCCTTGCATCCCTGCCATCCTCATGCTTCATCCGTTTCCTGCAACTGAAGGAGTTTTCTCTCGGGAGAAACCGAGTGCGAGTGGATGTCTGTGTGGATGGATGGATGTATCGGGTCGTCGCATTCTCGGTTTCCCTTTTAACGGGAGGCGAGGCTTCACGGCAGGCGTGATCGACGTTGCGCCGTGGGTGAAGATTAGGGGATTAGGGGATTAGGGGATTGAGGTTTTCGGCACTCCGGGCGACTTTCGTCATTAATCTAATATATTCGCCGTGCGACCCAGTTGGTTCGCGTCAGTCGAGATGTGTGCAATCGGGACGACCCGTGTCGGCTCCGTGCGACCCGCCCCGAGCCCACTGCCATCTGGCGGCTAAGTCGATTGCATTCTCGATTGCATCGCCTGTTGCCGATTGCATCGCCTGTTGCCGATTCCTTTCTTTTCCCGTTCCACTTTGAGAGGGAAGTCTCGATCGGTTCTCAGACGTGCTTGATTGCGCAAGAATGATTCAACTCTTGCGATAAAAAAAGAATGCTCCATAAATGTCCCCTTTTAGAGATATGGTCTCGGAGTAAATGGAATCGACGGCATAATTTGTCCTACCAATGACAACACACCCGGAAAAAAAATTGCCTGGCAAATTGCCTGGGGAATTGCCGGCGGCTCCTTGTCCATTGCTGCTCTTATTTCTCCTTCTCAAGCCGCCAATTATTGCGATTTCCCCTTGGAGAAATAACATTTTGATTGCCGATCAAGCAATAAGATTGGCAATCATTAGTGAGTAATTCCAGAGGCCCTATTTAGACTAGAAAAAAGAATGCAATTTATGAAAGAAATTCAATTCGGTTTTTTAATTCTCAAAAGTAAGCAATTTCGCAGCGCTTCTCATCACCTCTAACATCTAAATTCGCAATATTTATGCACTAATTTTGTGAACACTCAAATATTTTATCTTGTCAAAAACAAGGGAATATTGAACCCCAGAAATGTACTTTGTCGGCGAAAATCAGGGTTGCCAGATTTTGCCTTCCGATTGCATGGACGAGCGAGAAGCAAATGTCTGCCTTATCTTTCAATCCCCCGTTACGCCGAAGATGATGGAAATTGAAAAGCGAGAAGGGTCTGTCTCGCCTGACCGCAGCATCTTTGATCTGCGATCACTGAAGCATGCCGCAGTCGCTTCCAGCCCAACCCAGGTGACCCACCAGAGGCCAGAAATATTTCCATGCCCTTATCGGCCCCCCTCCCCCCTCTCCCCCCCCTCCCCCCCCCCCTCCCCCGTCCATAAAGTTTTTTTT